AGTTTAATCAAGATGAAGTGACTGACTAAGCAGCTTATTTTCTGCAGATGCTTTCATTCAGCTGCTCTGGGGAAATGTTCTCTGCCGTTTAGAGCGGTTGCTGCTTTGCTGCTGTGACCGCGCTGCAGAACGCAGCCTCTGTCGTCTGAAGCTTCGTCTTTCAGTCTTTCTGCTGCAGTTTCTCAGACGATCCTCTGTGTGCGATCAGGTGGTGGCAGAGCAGATCCCTCAGCTGGTCCAAGGAGTCCGAGGCAGCCAGTCTCAGCCGGACAGCCCCAGCGCTCAGCTCGCCCTCATCGGCGCCAGCCAGAACTTCCTGCAGGTCATTATCAGCCTTTCATCTCTGTTTCAATTAACCCTTTCATGTGTTTTTCTTTATTATTATTCTTTTCATATTTTAACAATAATTTACCAAGCAGCTAAAAATCCCAGGTTTGTGGACAGAATCAAGGATTCAGCATCAGTTGGGTTTTTTTTCTTCTAAAGAGTCATTTTTAAATGAAGATGAAGAAAGAAGGAAGGAGCAGAAAGGTTGTTTCTGCCAAATATTTACATGTTCATCGTTAATGAGAGAGGAAGACGAGGTAGAACTGCTGCAGAAGTCAGGTCAAAGAGACGGCCTGAGGGAAGGACCCGGATGTGTGGATTATGCAGAAGTGTTGGCCTGCTCCATCAGACCCAAAGATCTCTGCAGACGGTTGGTTTCAGTCTGGACCTGTGAATCCAAACCCACTGGACTGAATGATGGTGGTGAAGATGACCTCCTGCCACAGGAGGCGCCGAGGACCACCTAAGGTCCAAAGACCAGGTGGCTCCTTGGAGGCAGCGTGCTGTCGATCCAGCTCCACCCGTCTGTTGGTCTCCATCCTGGATCACTCCTCCAGAGGAACAGGTGATACCCTGTCAGTGAAGTGGGACGAGAACACTCCCCTGAGGAACGCCACTGCTGATGGTGCCCAGGAAGATCCTCCCCTGTGCCACCTGCCGCTCAGTTGGAGGTGGAGTGTGGTGTTGTCCATCAACTGGATCCTGACTGCTTCCTCTGCTGTGGTTCCATCATGGATGCCAGACGTCCTTTAGATGCTTCAGGTCCGTTCAAAGTGTCCATGGATGTGAGGACCGCAGGTCTGTGGTCATATGACCTGTGAAGGTGACCAGGAACAGAAGTTCTCACACCTGCAGAGACTTGGTGAAGATGCAGTGCAGGTTCTCTGCCATGAGGAAACGTTCCTCTCTAGGAAACATCTCTCACCTTTAGTTTGCGCCTGCTGCTCCATGAAGAGCTGCAGTTGATAGATGCTTCTCTAACCAGAGAGTTGAGCATCTATCAACTCTCTCTCTGGTTAGAGAAGCATCTAACCCTTCTCTAACCAGCAGCAGGAGCTGTTTAGGTCCAGGGTTCTGCTCAGAACAGCGGTGTGGATGAATGGAAAGATGGTCCAGGGAGCAGTGTGGGGTTAAGGGTCTTGCTCAGGGACCCAGAGTGGCAGTCTGTGGGATTTGGGCTTGAACTCAGAACCTCTGGATTCCAAGCTCTATGTCCTACCCAGTAGGCCGCCGCTCCTAATGTTCTGCTCTCTGTCTGCGGTGTTCTGAGTGTTCTGATCACCTGATGATGATGATGAGATGGTGTCCCTGTCCTCCTCCAGCCGGGGGCTAAGATGGTCACAGCGTGCAAAGCCACAGTTCCCACCATCAACGACCAGGCGTCCGCCATGCAGCTCAGCCAGTGCGCCAAGAACCTGGCCAGCGCCCTGGCAGAGCTCCGCACCGCCTCGCAGAAGGTAAGACGGAGCCGCCTGTCCTCGGCCATGTGGGGGTGGGAGGAAGCTCCCTCAGGCAGCTGGTGTTGACGCTGTGTGTGACGATGCAGGCGCAGGACGCGTGTGGTCAGCTGGAGATCGACAACGCTCTGAACATGGTCAGAGGCCTGGAGAAGGACATCCAGGAGGCCAAGGCTTCTGCTCAAGCAGGCAAACTCAAGCCGCTGCCAGGAGAGACGGTGAGGCTGACGCACAACATGGCTGACGCACAACACGGCTGACGCACAACACGGCTGACGCACAACACGGCTGACGCACAACATGGCTGACGCACAACACGGCTGACGCACATCATGGCTGACGCACAACATGGCAACCATGGACCTGCTGGTCCGCAGCTTTATAACTCAGTCTTCTTCTTTTGTTCAGCTGGATAAATGTTCGCAAGAACTGGGCACCAGCACCAAGGCCGTCACCTCCGGGATCGCCCAGCTGCTGAGCGAGGCCACCCAGGGAGATGAGAACTACATAGGTGGGTGGAATGAAAGCCAGGGGGCGCTCTAACCCACATCTTTATTTATTTGACTCTTTTTTTCCCCTTTCTTAAAGACAGAAAAACCTGAAAGTCTTTTGACAGACAACAGTTCACTTTCTGACCACTGGGGGGCGTATATAGTGCAATAATAACTGTTTATACCAGAAAGGAAGCAGGAAGCTCCTCCTCTCACCGACCTCTGCTCACCTCAGGTTTTAAACTTTGGCCAAAGTTCGCCTGTAATTCCAGCCTCTAGATGGCGACAGAGCACAGATAGTCCAGAACGCGTTAAGCAGATAACATATCCGTCTGCTTGGTGCGGATTCTCTGTTGGGACCATTTGGACCGGACCTTGCAGAGCCTCCAATCAGCAGGTGGAAATCCCTGCCCTGCTTTAGCGAACCCTGCTCTCCATTCTGCTGATCACTCAGTGACGTTGGTCAGGTTTTATCTCGGTGAGTGAAGCTGTGGATGAGAACATAGCTGAGCTTTAGGCTCATATAAAGCCCCATTTCCACTACTCTTTTGAAACCGTGCTGAGGTCAGTCCGAGCACGGTTACCGTGGTAACTGTTGAGCGTAAATGGCACGCACAACTGAACCATGCCGTTCCAGACACAACCGAATTTCTGGCTCGGTTCTCAATGAGCAGACCGCCTCGTCTCCTTACAGCCAGCCTCCATAATCATTCCTAAAATCCTAGCTTCCTACCGCACCGCACGATTTCCAGGGATGATTCTGCTTAGCAGTGCGACGAACCTCAACATCTGTCGTTGTTTCCTGCGTCTGGAAGCCCTGATTAGACTATCGTTTGTCGTATCCACTTCCCAAAAGCCGAATCTGTCAAAGAAATTCACCAAAGGCTGCCTTCTTCCCCTGACTCTCCGCTAACTTCCTGAATGTTATGGGGGCTGCCATGGTGGTTTATTTTTTCTCTCTAGAGAGCAATAGTACCGTAGATCGCCACTAGGAGTCGAGGAACCGTGCTAGCGTGGCGAGTAAATAGTCATAAGGAACCAAGCTCGGCACGGATCGGTTTCAGAGGATAGTGAAAATGGGGCTCATGACAGCAGGTCTAGTGAACCGACCTTCCCGCTATGAACGAGCATCCAGACAGATTAATCTGTTCGCTCCGACTGCGAACAATTGCCCCCCCAAAAAAAACACAGCTGAAAGGGTGCGTTTCAAATGTGAAACAGAATATAAACACACATTGTGGATTAATCAATCTACCTTCAAGTCACTAAGACTTCTATAATGCGTTTTTACTGGAAAATTCCCGCTATCACAGATTAGCAGTCCGACTCTGCCCCAGAACAATGGCGTATAGTTTGGTAATCACCTTTAGCTGTATGTTACCTGCCAACACGTATCAGCCTCTGTAGGATAAAGAATAAAACAGTTTAATTATCATTATTTGACCTTATCAGCCAGTGGAGAGTCTAGGCTGACCTCTGTTCCAGACACAGACGGCAGGAATGTTTCATCTCCCTCTGACCTCCCAGTGTTTCCTCTGACCCTCCATGTTAGCATAAGACCAAAGAAGCTACGTTCCACCATAATTAACAGCCTTATTCGGCTGGTTAATTATGGTGGACACGCCCCCTCCTCATTTGCAGACAGAAATAAATAGTGGCAAAGAAATAACTAAGGTAAAAAAATACAAAGGAAGAATAAAACGGACAAAAATATTATAACATGCACATAAATAAATACTTAAAAATATAAGTAATTAAAAAATAAAGTTGAAGATTATAAAGGACAAAAAAATAAATAAGGTAAAATATTACAAAGGCAAATAAATAAAGAAGCTAATTGAAAGAGTTATATACTCACTGTCTCACTGTATAATTTAATTTCTAATTACAGTTATTTGATGATTGTATTTTTGGTGGCAATTAATCGTATGCTTATTTATTTATTGAGCATTAATTTATTTCTGTATTTATTTTTAAATATGGCAGAGTTGGTCCTCCGTAGAGGTGGAAGTGAATCCAGTAATGAAATCTGAGCGGCTGCTACCGGCCCTTTAAGGACCTGATGCTATAAAACATCTGCAGAGGGACTGACCATTATTTCCACCAGATAGTTCTGCTCTTAAACTATTTCTGTCTCCTGAAGGTGTCCAAAGCGGAAATCTTGTTTTAACTCTTTCCGTCCCACAGAGTCACTTCCTGTTTATCTCACTGAAGCCCCCCCTCCTTTTCCATCCAGGCATGTCGGCCAGAGATATAGCCCAGACCCTGAAGACCCTGGCCTCAGCGGCCAGAGGAGTCGCCGCCTCCACAGAGGACCCTGCAACACGCAGCGCTGTGCTGGACTGCGCTAGTGATGTCATGGACAAATCGGCCAATCTGATGGAAGAAACCAAGAGGGCGATTGCTAACCCGGGAGACCCGGAGAGTCAGCAGAGGCTGGCGCAGGTCAGACACTAAGCATCGATACAAACAGTGATGGTGACTGATCCTTGTCTGAAAATGATCAAAGGTCTTCTGTCACCGTGGAAACCGTTCTGATCACCTGGTGACACTGTTAACACCAGCTGGGGGATGACCCCCGGACCAGTCCATCATCATCATCATGTGATTATCCGTCTGCAGGTGGCCAAGGCCGTGTCCCAGGCTCTGAACAGATGTGTGAACTCCCTACCCGGCCAGAGGGACGTGGACAACGCCATCCGCTCCGTGGGCGAAGCCAGCAGATCCCTACTGGCCAATTCTGTTAGTGCATCACTCACTGATTTACTCACTGATTCACACACTGATTTACTCACTGAGCGGTTCACTGATCCTCTGACGAACTGAGTGGTTTATTGACTGAATCACTCACTGATCCACCGACTCAACAATTTACCAAGTGATTCATTGACTGATTCACTGACTAATTAACTGATTAAATTATTCACTCACTGATTTGCTGACTGATTCACTCACTACTTCAGGGACCCACTAATTCACCAAATGATTCACTGACTGATTCACTGACTCGTTCACTGATTCACTAATTAATTGAGTGATTCACTGAATGACTGACTTACTGATCAACTGATTCACTGAGTGATTTGCTGACTGATTCACTGACTCGTTCACTGATTCACTAATTAATTGAGTGATTCACTGAATGGCTGACTTACTGATCAACTGATTCACTGACTGATTTGCTGACTGATTCACTGACTAATTAACTGACTGATTAAATGATTCACTCACTGATCCATTGATTGACTGAGTGTTTTTCTGATTGATTCACTCACTACTTCAGGGACCCACTAATTCCCAAAATGATTCACTGACTCGTTCAGTGATTCACTAATTAATTGAGTGATTCACTGAATGGCTGACTTACTGATCAACAGATTCACTGACTGATTCAATAGCTGATTTATTTATAGGATCACTCACTCACTTTCTGGTTCACTGATTGACTGAATAAGCATCACTGCAAAGATATTTATTACTCAGATTGATTCCACCATGTTCAGCCAGAGGTTGAACATTCATGCAGATTTTATAATCTGTCAGTATCTGACTCCATTATAGTTTGATCTAATGTGATGAAAGGCTAACGCATCACTTCCTGTAATGTCTATTCTCCTCCCATCTCTCCAGTTCCCGTCCAGCGGACGAAGTTTCCAGGAAATCCAGTCTCAGCTGAACGAGGTGGCGGCTGGCCTGAACCAGTCGGCCAACGAGGTGGTGCAGGCATCCAGAGGGACCACCCAGGACCTGGCCAGGGCCACCAGCAAGTTTGGACAAGACTTCAGCAACTTCCTGGAGGCCGGCGTTGATATGGCAGGAACCTCTCAGGTGAGGAGGAGTCCAAGTTTGTTGGGATTTCCAAGCAGCAGGAGCTCCTGTTCAGCTCCTGGGAGATTTCATCAAACTTTGTTGAGGATTAACAGTTTTACTCGTCCCTTTAGTCCAAAGAGGACCAGACCCAGGTGGTGTCCAACCTGAAGACCATTTCCATGTCATCAAGCAAACTGCTGCTGGCAGCCAAGGCCCTGTCCACTGACCCCAGCTCCCCCAACCTGAAGAACCAGCTGGCAGCAGCAGCTCGGTGAGGACCTCCTTCCTCCCTCTAAGGCCGGGACTTCTCCAGAACACGTCTGTTCTTAACATGCGAGTCTTTGTGCTTCCAGGGCGGTCACAGACAGCATCAACCAGCTCATCACCATGTGCACCCAGCAGGCCCCGGGTCAGAAGGAGTGTGACAATGCTCTCAGGGAGCTGGAGGTAACCTCGCCGTGTTAATCACCTGATCATCCAGTGTGGACACCCTGATCTGCCTGCTTCTGAATGTCGGCCATTTTATCTGAACGTCCGCCCTAACCCCTACATAGGGCATTATATAGTGGTTGCGCAATTTTAGATGAAAGTCTAGTGAAGCGGTCGGCAACCCAAACTGCTCAAAGAGCCACACTGGACCAAAAAAACAAATAACTAATCAGTCTGGAGCTGCAAAACTCTAAAAGTCTGCATGTAAGTGTTTTAGCCCGTTTTAAACAAGGACTAGCTGGGCTTAAACATATAATAAGAATGTTTCATTAAATGTTTATCCCTGAGTAAATGTCCCATAGTAGCATGAGGTGATGGAGGAGCAGCATTGATGAAATGATAGAAACAGGATAAAGGAATCTTTCTATGGTGGACGTGTTTCTGTTGGGAGGAGCTGATGGAGGAACCAAGCAGGAAGTGACATCATCAGAGCAGAGCTCTCTGACCCTGAAATCCCACATCGTTCCTTGGTGGGATTTTAAAAAATGTAAGAAAGTTCCCATCCCTGCATCAGAGCGCCACCTGTTGGATCTATGAATGGTTTTCTATGCTTGCAACCAAACTAGCAGCAGCAGTGGAGTTTGGAGATGCTATCTATTTCTTAAATCCTCTAATTTATCCATTATTTCTGCGGCGCTGAAGAGCCACATGCGGCTCCGGAGCTGCAGGTTGCCGACCCCTCGTCTAGTGGATGAAAAGGTAGTGCACTCAAAATTTCCCACAATGCACCTTGAAAAGTAGCGATCATCCATGGTCACTAGATGAGCAGATATATCCCAGAATGCTTTGCAAGAGCTGTTGAGAGAATAAAGATAGCGAAGGCACAGTGGGGGAGGTGGCGGAGTCATGTGACCAGCGTGGAGCGAAATGTAGTGATCATCTGTCCGAACGGTCAGTTAGCTGAGTGAGGGAGGGGTCAGAGGTCAGGGCGGACGTTGGGACACAGTCACTGTCCGTTTGGTTGATGAATCGATCCTCTGGCTCAGAAACATCTGATTCACCCCATCGGGTTACTGATACATGTTCAACCCTCCGTACGGTGTAATAGCTCCCCCAAGTGGCCAAGTAGGATGATGGGTCAGACTTTCATGAAATGTTTCTAAGACTTCTGGAAAATGTCTGCTAGTTCTTTGACTTTATTGTTCAGAATAAATACAGTTCTTCTCCTCTACCAGTAGGTGTCCAGTTCAGCAGCTGCTACCTCTGGTTTAGTCAGGCTGTTAGCTCAGTCTGCTGCTGGCTACTAACAGACGCAGCAGCATTAGCTTTAGCGTTAGCTTTCCCTCCATGCCTCAGGAGGGTCCTGGTTCTGTAACGCTCTGGTCTCTGTGTGCAGTCAGTCAAAGGGATGCTGGCCAATCCAACCGAGGCGGTTAATGAGCAGTCCTTCTTCGAGTGCATCGACAGCGTCATGGAGAACTCCAAGGTAAAACGTCTCCTTTCTTCTCATCGCTTTAAATCAAACCCTGAAGGTCAAACGATCTGAAGGTGAAAACATGAAAGCGGCTCATCTAACGATTCCGCCTCTTCTGGGCAGGTTCTGGGCGAGTCCATGGCAGGTATTTCTCACAATGCCAAGAACTCCAACCTTCCAGAGTTCGGGGATTCTGTCAGCGCCGGATCCAAAGCGCTGTGCGGTCTGACTGAAGCTGCTGCTCAGGTAAGGTCCGCCCTGTCCTCACCGTCCGGGTTCTAGCTGGGATTCATCACCAAACGTGTTCTGACCCATGTAGGCGGCGTACCTGGTGGGAGTATCGGACCCTACCAGCGTAGCGGGTCAGAAAGGTCTGGTGGATCCCACTCAGTTTGCCCGGGCTAACCAGGCTATCCAGATGGCCTGTCAGAACCTGGTGGATCCGGCCTGCACTCAGTCTCAGGTAAGCAGCTCAACACTAGATGTTTTGGTGGGACCGGGTCCATTTGGGTCACCATGGTGACCTGCGTGCTTGTTCTCTGCCCAGGTGCTGTCTGCAGCGACCATCGTAGCCAAACACACCTCGGCGCTTTGCAACGCCTGCCGCCTGGCCTCCTCCAAGACCGCCAACCCCGTCGCCAAGAGGCAGTTTGTCCAGTCAGCCAAGGAGGTGGCCAACACCACCGCCAACCTGGTCAAGTCCATCAAGGTTCGTAAGGAAATCCTTATAAGGTCACCAGGAAGAGGAAATCCTCTGATAGATGACGATGTGCTCGGCTGGAATGGATTCCAGTTCACTTTGGGAGTAGCCCTAACCGGATGGACGCCATGTTGGTCCACTAAGTTCTGATGGTGTCTGTTTTCCAGGCCTTAGATGGAGCCTTTAACCAGGAGAACCGGGAGAAGTGCAGGGCTGCTACTGGACCTCTGATAGAAGCTGTGGACAACCTGACCGCCTTCGCCTCAAACCCAGAGTTCGCCAGCATCCCGGCCCAGATCAGCCCCGAGGTGGGTCGCAGACCTTGTCACTCATTTCCACTGGTACCAAAGGTTCTGTTCAGTGACCCAGCAGAACCGGCTCAAACGGCCCGCAGTCCTCTAACCATGACCCCATCCTCCCTCCTCAGGGCCACGCAGCCATGGAGCCCATTTTAACCGCTGCCCAGATGATGCTGGAGAGTTCCACAGGCCTGATCCAGACCGCCCGCTCCCTGGCAGTCAACCCTAAAGACCCCCCCAAGTGGTCTGTGTTGGCGGGCCACTCCAGAACCGTGTCCGACTCCATTAAGAAGCTGATCACCAACATGAGGTACGCTGATGTTCCTGACCGGGTTCTGAATGTTACAGCCAGTGGTCCTGTCCACAGGCCCTGGTTCCCCCTACGCTGAGGTCCCGGTGGATCCTCTGAGGTCCCAGTGGATCCTCTGAGGTCCAGTCGGATCCTCTGAGGTCCAGTCGGATCCTCTGAGGTCCAGTCGGATCCTCTGAGGTCCAGTCGGATCCTCTGAGGTCNTTTATTGTTCAGAATAAATACAGTTCTTCTCCTCTACCAGTAGGTGTCCAGTTCAGCAGCTGCTACCTCTGGCTTAGTCAGGCTGTCAGCCATTAGCTTTAGCGTTAGCTTCCCCTCCATGCCTCAGGAGGGTCCTGGTTCTGTAACGCTCTGGTCTCTGTGTGCAGTCAGTCAAAGGGATGCTGGCCAATCCAACCGAGGCGGTTAATGAGCAGTCCTTCTTCGAGTGCATCGACAGCGTCATGGAGAACTCCAAGGTAAAACGTCTCCTTTCTTCTCATCGCTTTAAATCAAACCCTGAAGGTCAAACGATCTGAAGGTGAAAACACGGAAGCGGCTCATCTGACGATTCCGGCCTCTTCTGGGCAGGTTCTGGGCGAGTCCATGGCAGGTATTTCTCACAATGCCAAGAACTCCAACCTTCCAGAGTTCGGGGATTCTGTCAGCGCCGGATCCAAAGCGCTGTGCGGTCTGACTGAAGCTGCTGCTCAGGTAAGGTCCGCCCTGTCCTCACCGTCCGGGTTCTAGCTGGGATTCATCACCAAACGTGTTCTGACCCATGTAGGCGGCGTACCTGGTGGGAGTATCGGACCCTACCAGCGTAGCGGGTCAGAAAGGTCTGGTGGATCCCACTCAGTTTGCCCGGGCTAACCAGGCTATCCAGATGGCCTGTCAGAACCTGGTGGATCCGGCCTGCACTCAGTCTCAGGTAAGCAGCTCAACACTAGATGTTTTGGTGGGACCGGGTCCATTTGGGTCACCATGGTGACCTGCGTGCTTGTTCTCTGCCCAGGTGCTGTCTGCAGCGACCATCGTAGCCAAACACACCTCGGCGCTTTGCAACGCCTGCCGCCTGGCCTCCTCCAAGACCGCCAACCCCGTCGCCAAGAGGCAGTTTGTCCAGTCAGCCAAGGAGGTGGCCAACACCACCGCCAACCTGGTCAAGTCCATCAAGGTTCGTAAGGAAATCCTTATAAGGTCACCAGGAAGAGGAAATCCTCTGATAGATGACGATGTGCTCGGCTGGAAAGGATTCCAGTTCACTTTGGGAGTAGCCCTAACCGGACGGACGCCATGTTGGTCCACGAAGTTCTGATGGTGTCTGTTTTCCAGGCCTTAGATGGAGCCTTTAACCAGGAGAACCGGGAGAAGTGCAGGGCTGCTACTGGACCTCTGATAGAAGCTGTGGACAACCTGACCGCCTTCGCCTCAAACCCAGAGTTCGCCAGCATCCCGGCCCAGATCAGCCCCGAGGTGGGTCGCAGACCTTGTCACTCATTTCCACTGGTACCAAAGGTTCTGTTCAGTGACCCAGCAGAACCGGCTCAAACGGCCCGCAGTCCTCTAACCATGACCCCATCCTCCCTCCTCAGGGCCACGCAGCCATGGAGCCCATTTTAACCGCTGCCCAGATGATGCTGGAGAGTTCCACAGGCCTGATCCAGACCGCCCGCTCCCTGGCAGTCAACCCTAAAGACCCCCCCAAGTGGTCTGTGTTGGCGGGCCACTCCAGAACCGTGTCCGACTCCATTAAGAAGCTGATCACCAACATGAGGTACGCTGATGTTCCTGACCGGGTTCTGAATGTTACAGCCAGTGGTCCTGTCCACAGGCCCTGGTTCCCCCTACGCTGAGGTCCCGGTGGATCCTCTGAGGTCCCAGTGGATCCTCTGAGGTCCAGTCGGATCCTCTGAGGTCCAGTCGGATCCTCTGAGGTCCAGTCGGATCCTCTGAGGTCCCAGTGGATCCTCTGAGGTCCAGACGGATCCTCTGAGGTCCAGACAGATCCTCTGAGGTCCAGGTGGATTTGCAGAGGAGCGGTGTAGTAAAGGTTCTCCTGCTTTGGACCACTGCCGGCTCTGCTAGCATGGACTGGCTCAGGTTGTCTTTGGCAGGCGCTTGGTTCCGGCGGTGCCTAGAATTTTCTGTGGAACCAAACCAAACATCAATTACAGGTTCAGAAGGAGGAACAAACAGGACCAATCCACATCACAGTATCTGATGCTAACTGCTAACCTTCCATGTGTGCAGAGAAAAGGCTCCTGGTCAGAGAGAATGTGACGATGCCATAGAGGTTCTGAACGGCTGCATCCGTGAAGTGGACCAGGCGTCTCTGGCTGCCATCAGCCAGCAGCTGACCCCCCGGGATGACATCTCCATGGAGGTAAAGATTGATTATCCTCTTAGTAGATCCCCTTCAAGGCACCAAGGATCGGGTCCTTACCCAAAAAACAACCCCTTTAGAAACAGACGATCACTTTCCTCCAAATGCTGAATCTTTCCTCCAAATAATCCTTCTCTAGCTTTGCTAACGCTCTGAACCGTGTTCTGCAGACTCTCCATGAGCAGATGGCCGTCTCTGTCCATGAGATCAGTAACCTGATTGACCCTGTTGCCGTGGCAGCTCGATCCGAGGCCTCCCAGCTTGGACACAAGGTAGACCGCCTGGTTCAGACCGTCAGCTGGGGCTTCTCCTTCTGATGGGTTTCCTCAGATTCATGATGAGCAGCAGCAGGTTGCTTTAAAGCATGAGTTCATGATGTGGCTCCTTAACCCAGAAGCTGATTGGTTCTCCTTCTAAAGGCTGGCGTCCCCCCCCCGTCCTCCATCCCTGATCAGGTGCTCTGTTTGCTGACAGGTCTCTCAGATGGCCACCTACTTTGAGCCCCTGATCATGGCTGCCATCGGCACAGCCTCCAAGATCCTGAGCAGCCAGCAGCAGATGGCCGTCCTGGACCAGACCAAGACTCTGGCAGAGTCGGCTCTGCAGATGCTCTACACGGCAAAGGAGGCTGGAGGAAACCCCAAGGTACCAAATGCAGCTGTCTGGTGTCTCCCTGCTACCTTCTCACCATCCTTATCTGCATTCTCACTTCTTCATTAAAAAAGTTGGTTGTTTTACGCCTAAATATTTAAGATTAATACAAAATCAGACGATCTGAGTAAGATATGAGTGTAAAATATCATCTTTCAGGCTTCTGAAGCGATTCTGATCTATTTTCTGAGAGGGGCTGAAGAATCGGCAAATAAGACCCAAGTCTCTGATCGAACACACATTTACCTTTGACGGGTCTTTATTGGCCAAAATCTAGACTATTTTTTTAAAAATGTTTTTGCCGAAGTAATTTTCTTATATTTGAGTCTCATATTGATAATTGTTGGAGTCGTATTCGTGGCTCATTTTATTTCTGGGTTTCTTGCTTGTAGCTGTAATGAAGCAGAATTCCCTTCCTATCAGGACGGCTTTGGTTAAAACTCCTCTTTGACCTGAAATGCTGTAAATGCTCCCGACCCGCCGCCTGCGGTTCTCTTTGCCTCTCTAGGCGGCTCACATGCAGGGCGCTCTGGAGGATTCGGTCCAGATGATGAAGGAAGCTGTAGACGACCTGGGCGCCACGCTGGCTGAGGCCGCCGGCGCTGCTGGCGCCGTGGGCGGCATGGTCGATTCCATCAACGACGCCATCAATAAGATGGAAGACGGGCCGGCAGACGAGCCGGAGGGCACCTTCGTGGATTATCAGACCACCATGGTGAAGACAGCCAAGGCCATCGCCGTTACAGTTCAGGAGATGGTGAGACGCCGGAGAAAGAATCCCGCCTTCATCAGACGGCGGCGGACGCAGCTCTGCTGCTGGCTAATCAGGCTTGTTGCTCTCTAGGTGACCAAGTCCAACACCAACCCAGATGACCTCGGGGGGCTGGCCAACCAGCTGACCAATAACTTTGGGAATCTGGCAGATGAGGCCAAATATGCGGCCCTCACTGCAGAGAACGACGAGGTGAAGGAGAGCTGCTGCTCGCTGGCTTCCTGTTGATTCCTTTTATTTCAAAGCGTTAATCTTCTTCTGTTGGTTCCTGGTCCAGATCGGTTCTCACATCAAGAAGCAGGTGGGCGAGCTGGGCTTCACCTGCACCGGGCTGGTGACCAAGGCCGGCGCCCTGCAGTGCAGCCCCAGCGACTCCTTCATCAAGAAAGAGCTGATTGAAAGCGCCCGCAAAGTTTCAGAGAAGGTCAGGGGGCGTCGTCCCGTCCTCGCCGTTCTTCCTGATCCCCCCCACCCCTCCATGTTCACCCTCACATCGATCTGTTGCAGGTGTCTCATGTGCTGGCGTCCCTTCAAGCTGGTAACCGTGGCACCCAGGCGTGCATAACGGCTGCCAGCGCCGTCTCTGGGATCATCGCCGACCTGGACACCACCATCATGTTTGCTACGGCGGGTACTCTGAACCGAGAGAACGCCGAGACGTTTGCTGACCACAGGTACCAGCCGCCATGTTGACCTTCATCAATGCTTTGGCTTTCAGGTCATGTGATGCTGATGAGGTTAACGCCATGATAACCAGAATTCTGATCCTACTAGAACCTCCCACTGGCCGTCAGTTTGACCACTGACATTTCCCCTATAGAAATGCATGAGTAGTGATGATGAGTGATGATGTCATCGACTGCTAGTGTGCGATATAAACACATTGAGGATATAAAGACCTTAGATCAGGTCTAATATATATATATATATCAATTAAAGACTGTATTATATGTTATTATTATTATTATTCGATTATTAGAAGACTGTTTTACTACACAGATTCAAAATTTGAAATTAGAATTTTATTGCGTTTTTTATTTTATTCCTCCCAAACATTTCCCACACCTCCTTTTCATCCACCGTTTATGAAACATAAACTGAGCGTTTTCTATCTGCAGCGCTGAAGCTCCTGCTGCTGTTTTCTTTGCCTCATCAAAGCTGCTCTGCTGCGGGGGAGGGGCTGGAAACTCAGGGTTTCCGTGGGTCATTAAAAGTCATTAAGTTAGTTTTTAAATTGAAGCCTTAATTGGCATTACAATTCATTATATGTGTTTATTGTGGCATTTAAAATGCTTTATTAAAAATATGTTTATAAAAACAAATTCGTCAGGCATTATATCACAATATATTTACGTGGAACTGCTTCCAGTTGATGGCAAAGATGTATTTTCAGAAAATAAGCCTGATTCAGAGAAAAAAGTTAGAGAATGGGGGGAAAAAGCAAATTTGAACAAAAGTGCCTGGAAAAAAGAGGAATTGCTGATGCCTGTCGATTGGTACATGTTGGTGGCATTGAAATTATTTCTAAGAGCATTAAAAGAGCATTAAATTAGACTTATTCATTCCTGTATAAACCCTGAAACTCTTTTAGCAGTTGAAGGATAAAATCTCTGCGTGAAACTGTGCCGTTCAAACAGCTCCTGATCAAACCATCAGGTTTCCAGCTGCTATGTCCAGCAGATGGTAAAATAAAACCACTTTCTAATAACTGATCCACCCAGACCTGTGTGATCACAGCAGACCAGGGGCTGTGGTTTGGCTTTGGGCCGCCGAGTCGACCAGCTGAGGTGGGGGCAGTGCTATCCAAACCAGAACAAAAGTTTCACTATTGTCTGATGGCTCACTGATACCACTGCGTTCTCCCAGGGATGGTTGATCGTCCTCGGACTCGCTGTCCGCTTCCTCCCCGCTCCGCCTCATGTCTCTCCCCGCTCCGCCCGAATCGCTATCATCAATATTTGAAAGCATTTCTAAAGTCTGGTTAGATTTCTTCTGAAAGCCATTTTTTCCGTTTTAGCCAAAGAGTTCTAGGTAGAATGTTGGTTGCTAGGCAACGGTACGTCAATCAACTGCAAGAAGAATTTACAATGCAACTAATAGAGCCGTCTAAATGATGGCTGAGTGTGAGCAAGGTAAAATTAACCATATTTAATTTTTATGGTTTTATTTTATTAGGTGAAAATAAAGGAAATCTAAAAACAGGAAAAATCAGTTAACATGAGCAACATATGATTAATGTAAATAAAGTTCTTTCCCTTTAAAATCTCATTACTGTCAAAATGGCGGACATGGGAGTTCTACTGTTGATTAGCTAAAGGGTTTGATAGAGTTAAGGAAAACAAGCGATAGCTTCTTGTAAATATGATGATGGTTTGTTCCTGGATCTAAGAATCAGTAATTAACTACTGGGAGGAGAACCCTACTGGGAGCAGAACCCTACTGGGAGCAGAACCCTACTGGGAGCAGAACCCTACTGGGAGCAGAACCCCCACAGGAGAGCATCCCTCTGTGCTGTTTTTATCCCAGACTGTTTAAGAGCATCAGGACTTTAACTTGTGATGTTCAGCTAAGTGGTGACCTGATGGAGAGCTGATGCTGATCTGGTAGCAAACAGAAACAGGAAGGTCTCCATGTCTGATTCTTTAGCTCCAGGTTCTGCAGCCGTGCGGTTTTGATCCCATGTGAACGACGTCCCAGGATGGCAGAAGCTGCTGGTCCCGCCTCTCAAAGTCCGACCTGCTCTTGTTTTTCAGAGAGTGCATCCTGAAGACGGCCAAGGCGCTGGTGGAGGACACCAAGCTGCTGGTCTCTGGCGCTGGAGCCAGTCAGGAGAAACTGGCTCAGGCTGCCCAGTCATCAGTTTCCACCATAACCAAACTGGCTGATGTGGTCAAACTGGGAGCAGCCAGTCTAGGTTCAGAAGACCCTGAGACTCAGGTAAGCTTCTACTGTGCATGTTCACCATGTTGCCTTTATCTGATCCGACCTGAGCAGGAACCAAACTCTTCAATGAAGCAGACAGACTGGTTCTGACAGCCTCTGGGTCGGACCTCAGTCATCGTCTACAGTGACGATCAACATCACTCTAGTGATGGAAGTTCAGTCCAACATAAGGTAGACGTTAGAAAATGGTTTTCTGGACCGGGTTCTCATGCCTCTGCCCTCTGTAGGTGGTCTTGATCAATGCAGTGAAGGACGTGGCCAAAGCTCTGGGTAACCTGATTAGCGCCACCAAGGCGGCGGCCGGTAAACCTCACGACGACCCCAGCATGCTGCAGCTGAAGAGCTCTGCTAAGGTAACGCACCTGAACATCTGGACCATCTTAAACAAACACCCACACGTTCACCATTAACAGAACCGCAGATGTTTATAAAGGAGAAAGGTGTTGGTCAGACACAGGTAAACCATCAGGTAGACTCTCATCAGGAAGACATTTTGTTCCTGAAACCTTCTCATCTCTTCTAGGTGAACTAGTTCTATTCTGGTCCATCAGCTGTTAAAGGCCCAGACTTCCAATGTTTAACCGGGAGCTTCAGACCTGGCTGATCTGCTTTCCTTCTGTAGGTGATGGTGACCAACGTGACGTCCCTGCTGAAGACGGTGAAGGCGGTGGAGGACGAGGCCACCAAGGGAACCAGAGCTCTAGAGGCGACGATCGAACACATCAAGCAGGAGCTGACTGTGAGTCCTCTGACCGCCATGCCCCCTCAGGCAGGATAGACGTCCCTCTGATCCTGGGTTACGCTGTGGTCTCAGGTGTTCTGCAGCTCCGATCCGCCACCGAAGACCACCACGCCGGAGGAGTTCATCCGTATGACAAAGGGGATCACCGTGGCAACAGCTAAGGCCGTGGCTGCTGGGAACTCCTGTCGCCAGGAGGACATCATCGCCACCGCTAACCTCAGCAGAAGAGCTATTGCTGACATGTTGCACTCCTGCAAGGTACCCTGGATATTAATGTTTTCACATCCTACAAAATATCCACCAGGAACAACACCCTGCTGAGATGCCAGCAGGGGTCAAAGGTCATCTGTAGTGTTTAGACAGTGCACCTCCTCCCCCCAGCATCTTTGCCTGTAGCCGTTTTGTTCTAAAAACATCGCCCCCTGCTGGAGTCAGCGGTAACTGATGCATGTTTGTCTCTCTCACCTCTCAGGAAGCTGCCTACCACCCAGAGGTCAGCAAGGACGTCCAGATGCGCGCTCTACGCTACGGCAACGAGTGTGCCTCTGGCTATCTGGGACTGCTGGAACACGTCCTGCTGGTGAGTCCGCCTCTCTCACTACTTTGCTTCTGGGGGGTGTTGGGTCCGTCTATCTCCTGACACAAGAGGCCTACTATCAGCTCGTCTGACTATCGCCCGGCGGAATGGCCCGACTGCGCTTATAACAAAACCTCACAAAACATTGCAAAATCTGAATTCTTTCAAGTCAAGTATCTTTTTTTTTTAAATTCAATTAATTAAATTGAAACAGCTGAAATATGAGTGTTTATCAGAAAATCAGTATTGTTCTATTGGCTAATTTAAAGTGAGCTAGGCTACATGCTTTGAAACAGCTTTGTCAAGAAGAGCCAGCATCATTGCAGCCATGCAGAGTCCTGCAGGCAGCTGTTAGGACAGCTCAGGGGGATATTTCATAAATTGGATATAAAAAAAAATACTTTAGACTAGTCCAAATTAATTGAAATTGATTATAATTCTGGATGTGTGACACTTTAGATGATAAATAAGATTATGTCATTTGAGATATCTCAAAATGCATTTTTACTCTTCAAGATGTGAATAAAATATCTTAAATTGTTAATTTTCCCTAGAAATTATATAGAAATATAAAACATGATTAAGGGCAGTCAAAATTTAGTAAATAATGTTTGTCTATTCTATTAAAATTTCTGTATCTCTATAATGGGTCCCTTAATTCAGAGGGCCCCCTGCCTGTCTTTGCCTAGGGCCCCAAATGTCCTAAATGCGCCCCTGCTTCTCTCCTCCGGGTTCATCTGTTGTTTCCAGAATGACCTCGTCTGTCGCAGGAGCGCGCATCGCCCTAAACTCACGCCCACTGAATATGAATGGATTGAAATATGAGCTAAAAGGGAATAAAAAAAAATTCTTAATGTTTTAACATTTCTTATACATGGATGCCTTAAATTGATAGTTTTAGTGGAATTTGAATGAATAGGATTTTATTGTATGGAGACACGTTTTCAGTGGGACGGTCATTTAAGAAGGGGGGTGATTTTTAAGATTTCCTTAAGAAGGTGGAAGCCATGGAAACATCCATCTATAAATCTGTTGGATTATTTTAAGGACCTGGTTTTCTGATGAGCAAAATGATGATTAGAAATAGAAATTTTTGTTTCTACTGAAAACATTCTCAAACGTCGACATTTCTAAACTCGTCTTTAGACAGTGGGGCCCCTCAGGGTTCGGCTCTGGTGGCTTCCNAAACTCGTCTTTAGACAGTGGGGCCCCTCAGGGTTCGGCTCTGGTGGCTTCCTTCCACAGCAGGCGTCTGATTCCACCTTTTCTTTCTCTTTTTGTTCCTTTAAACGTGTCTCTGTGACGCTGCTGCCAGCCGGTGAGTACGCCGCCGCACTGAGGCGCTCATGTGTGACGGGCTGCTCAGTTTGACCACTCCCAGCTCAGATTATTTAATCCATCAGTGATCCTAATGGGACGTGTGAGAGCTGTGATCCTGGACGTGATTGGTTCCTGTTGATCTAATGATGAAATCACAACCAGCCCCTTCATTCTGAGCGATTGTGCATGTCGCTGGGTGAGGTGGTTTAATATGACAGTTTCCTCTCATTAGAATAAAAACTCCATAAACATCAAACTACCCTTCATAACGGAAGAATCATGTTTAAACATCAGATTGTTTCTGAGATGATTTGCTCCCTGCATGCGTTCCCGCTGCGTAACATCACTCTTCTTCTGAATAAAGCTGAGCTGAGTGTGGACTGATCTCTGTTAATTCCCTGCACCTGTCGCCCACTGGCTGAACCTGAATATTTCCAGTCTGGGACGGTGTCAGGACCCCAGCAGAGCCCCATCCTGGCCCAGAGTCTGCTGCTCCTGCCACTCACTCATTGGGTATTTCTGTTAGTTGGAACATGTTGCTGTAAGGAGGCAGGTTGCATTGTTCTGACATGACAGCAGAGTCCTAAGATGGCCGACCTACAGGCCTCTTACAGCCATGTTGCTGTGTTATCTGGCCAGGATGAAAATAGTAAAAACGTGTCGATTAAAGTCTTTTTGGACTTGATTCAGGTGAAATATCTTCATCATCATGTTCCTCTGGGACTGAGGATCAAAGCAACGAAACAAACGCTCCTTTATTCGTTTCTATAGATTTGAGCTTAAGCAGTTATAACCTGGTAGTTACCTTCTCTTCTCAGTAATTGTCTTTAAATTCATGTCTATTCACTGAAGAGCTTTTTTTTCTTGTGAAGTTAGGAGGGGATTTGACTTGAATCTGCATTCACATGGATGTAGCGTTAGCAACGTTAGCAGTGAGCCATAGATTGTTTCCCATTGTCCCTGGCCTTTCACGCAATAGGTACAAAGTTACACCAGCAGCAGGACTCACCGACTGCATGAAGGGGAGGAATAGACAGGAGTCAAGATTGGAAAGCTAGCCAATGTTAGCATGGTGATATCAGGGAGGGCTAATGTTAGCATGGTGTTAGCAAAGCTTGGCAATGTTAGCATTGTGTTAGCAAGGCAGGCAAATTTTAGCGTGGGGATAACAAGGTGGGCTAACTTTAGTATGGTGATATCAAGGAGTGCCTGTCGCTACCCGATCCGTACCGGTAGCACGATCCGTACCATCAGCTCATTTGCGCCTGCGTGAACAGNAAAAATACAAAAGAATAAAAAAGTAAGAAAAAGGAAATATTGCCACCGGAAGTTATTCTGTTTGCACAGGCGCAAATGAGCTGATGGTACGGATCGGGTAATGACAGTGCCAATGTTAGCATTGTGTTAGCAAGGTGAGCTATTGTTAGCATGGTGATATCAAGGAGGTCTAATGTGAGCATAGTGATATCAAGAAGGGCTAATATTAGCATAGTGTTAGCAAAGCATGCAAACATTAGCGTTGTGTTAGCAAGGTGAGCTATTGTTAGCATGGTGATATCAAGGAGGGCTAATGTTAGCATGGTGTTAGCAAAGCTTGCCAACTGTCAATACCTGATCCGTACCATCAGCTCATTTCCACATGTGCAAGCAGGTCGCCATAAATAATGCAATTATGGTAGGCTACTAAAATTACTTATTTCTATACTTAACTCACTAAAGAATGCTAAAACATTTTTTTTATAACTTTTCTGAGATAATTGATGCTTTTTACATTTTCTCCTTTAAACCGCACCTCTGACGGCGGGTTAAGGTTAGCATGGGGATAGCAAGGCGGGCTAAGGTTAGCATGGGGATAGCAAGGCAGGCTAAAGTTAGCATGGTGGTAGCAAGGCGGGCTAAGGTTAGCATGGGGATAGCAAGGCAGGCTAAAGTTAGCATGGTGGTAGCAAGGCGGGCTAAGGTTAGCATGGGGATAGCAAGGCAGGCTA